CGCGCCATATGCTTGTTGGCCGCCCTATTTTCATAAAAAAAGCTTCGAGCTGGTTATGATTTGTCCAAAGCCGATAAGAAAATTATTATTAGCTTTGGTGTTTAGCTTCGTCGTCTTTGAGTCAAATCAAGTACTTAGTATGTGTCTTACGTTTATTAAATTGATATCAAACGTCATCAATGATATAAACTAGTATTGGAATTTAATAATATGTGTATATTGGAAATACTCCAATTTCTGTTTACATATAAGAGGCGATTATGAAAGCCGGAATTTGAGATTGCGCATTTTAATTAATTACAACATTATTATTGCGTTTGAAATTCCTTAAAACTTTATCACACCTTGACGGTAATCGGATCACGGAGAAAGTGCGCCGTTAATTCTTATTGCGGACGTGAAAAAATATTGAAAGGAAAATGAGAGTGAGGCATCTGCTCGTTGCGTGTTTCGGGAAGGTATTTAAAAACCGCGCTTCAACAGCGTTTGCAGCTGCCACAGTATTTGTGGGTATTAGTTAATTATTACGTCTGTCGCACATTTGCCGACTCGCAAAGGGTTAAATCATGATGATGATCAGTCTCTTTATGATGTACCGTCAAGAGATAATACTTTTTTTTTTCTAACCTCTAATAATCGTGATCACACCACATAAAGTTTATGGTTTGGGATGCGCAGGTGCAAGTGCGGTGACGTGTGTATGACTTCTAAGGTAATAAAAACTGTTTTTGTGTTCGATTCTTAAAATAGTTTAGAACATTACTGTATAGCATGTAACGCTAAACAGGTAAGTAGTTAATAGTTCAGTTGAGTAGTTTTGAAGTGGAGTACCAAAGGATGAAAAACACCGAAAATATTCACTGTTTATTTACGAACACCAAGAATGACTCAAAAGGTGGCTCTCACGCGACGTCCGTCGTTCGCGGTTGCTTAGTTAGTACTCGATGTTAAATTAGTAAATAATAAAAAATATTGGATTAGATTAAACTGACCTAGACAACAAATATTATTATGCAAACACATACATATATGTCAATGTATGAGTGAACCGTATCGTGCTATTCAAATAAGAATAGGAAAGCCAATAACCTCCATCTGTCAAATGTCGCTTGAAAAGTACGGTTTGCAAAAAAATCTTGGAACCCTTTTTAGCACTCGGCTAATTCTAGAATAAAAACCAAACATTTGTAAACATACAATAACAAATATTGATAATTAATATTGGTTGATATATTTTTTTCATTTATTGAGCTTTTGCTATGAATGTTTGATAACCTAAATCTTCAACCAAATTTCACTTGAAGTAGCGTTCAGATATTCGATTTAAAACTTTCGTTTACTTAAAGGATGCATGTTTGTATGTGACCTAGTAATGGTGCATGATTATTCATAACTACTCCGGTGGTAATGCAGAGATGAGCGGAATTGAAGAGCTAGATTCTGATTAATGTTTTTCTCACACAGTCTTAATAAATAAATATTTAAAAACAATATGATATTTCTCACTTAATCTTAGTAAATAAGTTTTATTAAATAAAATCTTTTTTTGCTCACCCTACCTATTTGGTTTGAAATGACAGCTATGACGTCACAATATGGCGTCCAGTCGGTCCTATTCTTAGTTGAATCGCATTATACAGTTACTATTTTTCCATTTATGATAAAAGTTTTGCCCGCTAACGCATTCTACCTTTATAGTTTATTCTGGTATGGTGATGTCATGAGAAACTCGAACATTACACATTTGATTGCCTATTATTGTCCAATCCACTTAAGCTACCTACTAAGCATTTTCGTTTCGATGCGGACCAGTTTCGTAACTTGCATCTGATCGTTTTTCTATACCAGTATGCAGATAGAGTGCATTCCGGGACCATTGTCATGCGTCAGTTGCATAAACATTATACCATTGTCAAGTTATGCAACCGATCGATCGGGAGACGACAAAAATGGTAACTGCGATAACGAAGGGATGTGTCGACCCTTTTTGTGATCAATACTAATATTATAAAAAGGTACAGTTGTTTATAGGATGTAATCACTGAAACTATATATATTACTCCTGTGCAACATAAGTAGCCTAGATAGCTTATACAGGGTGGAAATTTTGAATGCCACCCACAGGGGAAGTACTCTAAATACTGGAGATAGATAATTTTACTCAAAGGAAACATTCCTTTATTTTTAAAAAGAAACACAACTGCATTCACAGTTTTTCGAAAATTTTCTTGCCACACTCGGGAAGCGAACTGGCAAAAATTCGAAAAAATGACATCCTGTATTTTTATGGCATCGATCGATAAGGTCAATCATAGGGATCATATCTTACTAACAAACTTAGTACATTAAATGGAAGGAAAAGCGTGAAATCTTAACTAAACTGAATGCAATAAGACTAAAAGCAGTTTTATTCCACCATAAAATCATTAATTCATTCAAATAACGAATAAAGAATTTTTTGCACATGTCTAAAATGCATACTAAAGTGTCCAGTAAGGTACCAGTCTCAGGGGGGGCGCCGTACAACCTCTTTGGTACCAGTAATTTAAATGAGGTATGCAAACAGGTAATTTACATATTTTTGAAAATGGAATAGCGAATTAGAACGCATTGTTTTAAGTCTTGTTTGCTGCATCAAAATTTACTATAATAAATAATGGCTTATCAAGAACAATTGGATTTAATTGAAGCATATTTTTTAAATCACAAAAATGTGAATTTAACTCTGCGGTGGTATGGAGAGACATATCCGGATCGACAAGTACCAACTCGATTCGTTTTAAAGAGAATGGTAGATAATTAAAAAAAAAACTGGAAGTTACAAAAGGCGACAGCAACAGCAACGTCCTCAGCAGGTCGATTCATGCTTTTCCTTTAATTTAAAGTACAAAGTTTGTTAGTAAGATATGATCCCTATGATTGACCCTATCGATCGATGAATTTTTGCCAGTTCGATTCCCGAGTGTGGCAAGCAAATTTTCGAAAAACTGTGAATGCAGTTGTGTTTCTTTTTAAAAATAAAGGTATGTTTCGTTTGAGTAAAATTATCCATCTCTATAACAGTGTTAAGTTTACACACACTGAATGTAACATCAGCAAGGCACTATTTTTATTTAATAATTTGTGGATAATATTGTGGGTTACAATATTACCTTAGATTTTATGGTACCATGGTACCACATATAATAGTCTTTAGTCATAAAATACATATTGTAACCGTTTCTTATCCCTTAATAAATAAATAAATAAATAAATAAATCTCCAGTATTTAGAGTACTTCCCCTGGGGGTGGCATTCAAAAGTTCCACCCTGTATATAGAAATAAATTTCACCCGTGCAAAGTCGTTCGTATATGAAACGGAGTCTTAGACAAAGCATGAGTTGCGAATAAAAAAAAATAAGTGCAGATTCTAATAATGATTTTATTTTCAAACATTTTACTTCCAAATATTTTATGCTTTAATGATTTTTAGTAAAATTTGCTACTAGATTTTAATATATCCATAGATTAAGCTGATTCATCGGACGGATGACGGACGTTAGCCTTTTAATCCCATTCATTTAAAAATAATAAAACCTTAAAAAATACAAGTAAGCTCTTCTCTCTCGATTTTATTACTCTTTATAGTTTTTTTTTAATTTATTTACTACTTGAACAATACTTTTCAATAGGTTTCCATAATGCTTATTTATTAACTCTTAAAAAAAATGTTAAAGTTTCGTTTTAAAGTTGACCTATCCAATGACATAGAGATTTAACAGAACGACTAACAACAGGTCGTTCTGTGAAATCAAGGAAAAAGTTCACCACCAGGAAACTAGTAGATACAGAAAGAATTGCAAACTAAATAAGTGGTACCTTTTTTTCTCCTCACCGAGAGATACTGCATCTTTTGACGAGGCGTTTTCTGGACGGGAATATTAAATAGCACTCGTTATCGACCGATAAGTAGGCTATGGTTTGAATAATTGCATCCGCGGAACTTGTGCGACGAGGCCAACGGGTTTTGATGCAGTCAACTACTCCTCCTACAGTGTTATATCAGGAATAAATTGAGACACGCTTAATTTAGGGAAATATGATTGATACACACGTGAATGCGGTCTGGCGAGGTGTTCCGTTAAGTATAAATTAATATCTCATTAATTGTGTTTTTTTGTATTAAAGTATTTTTATCAACAGGAGTCGGTAAATGATAAAAAAAAATAATGCACACACTTGTGCATGTCATTGACTTTGATAATCCACTTGTTTGCTATACATGTTGTGCAAATATACTTAGGTTCTTTTCTATTTGGTATATTTCAAATGGACTTTTTATGCTTTATGCTATTATTTTTGAAGTTAATGGTATATAGAATGGGAACAAAAAGCGGCTACAGTTAAATTGTATAACAACTGCAGGTTTTGGGTTTCTTAACATACATTAAAGGTTTGATGTTAAACTTAATAAAATTATATGAATTTTATAATACTCAAACTCTTCACAACTAATGATGTTATGAAATGGTTAAACTTCCCCCTACACAATAAAAAAAACAAAGAAATATCTTGATGATCCCTCCTGAGCCTGTCAGTCCAACCAAAGCCGTTTCCGAAGTGCATCATCAGAAAGCAATCACGTATTTGAATAGTTCGTAGCTCCTTTCACATCGTCACTGGCATCGACCGCCAGGATTCTCCACACTTCATTTATTCGGTAGCGAGTCCAAACGATGACTCGAAGCACCAACACGCCGCGTCATTGTTGTTGATAACTGTTTGTATTATGTTAGACCTACGATGGGATACCAGAAGTGGTATGCACCCAGTGAAAAGACTAATCAAAGTTTGTATTAGAAAGTTTAGGGGGCAGTAACCTTTTAATTGTTCTGTGGATAGCTTGTCAAATCCTGGAGATTTATTGAAGGTTGTCCGAGTTGACTGCTTTGAAGTTTACTTTATAGGTTCATTGTGACAGCAGATTTACCTATTGACGAGTTGTTTTTGTTTGTTACAGCGGTTGTGGTGCGGTACCTAACGAAAAGATATATAGGTGAATACAGCTCCACTGGCGGTAAGGCTTAATTTTTTATTTAATCCTAAGTTCTTATGTATGTACTGTCAACAATACGATATCTAATAGGTATCAATACGCCATATATGGCACATAGCTTTGCTACGTTAAAATATGACAATTTGTAACCAAATTCACTTCTTTTATTATTTTAAAATGTACGTGGCAATATTAGCCTGCACAAGCTTGCGATACAAGAATCTCCCTAACAGAATTTCTCGATAAAATCTTCTTGATCGTTTAAGAGTAGTAAGATGTTTACCAGTCTACAAAATAATTACGATAAGTTACAGGTACGATTGATTTCGTTAATATTTTGGCAAATTTGTAAATTAAAAATCAAATACAAAAAATATCACACTGCGTACCGCTTTCGATGGGAATGTCAAAATATATACCTACAAGTGATTTTGAAGTACAATGTTGTTGCCGCGAAGCAAAACGTGAAACTTTTGAATGGTTCATTCTTCTGCATTCATAAAATGTGTTTAACGCCGCTGTTAGCAGGATCTTGATTCTGTAATATCTTTGTTGTTACGTAAATGACAAGACATAAAATGGGATAATGGTATTGAATGTAACCTCTTTCGTCGGACGCAGACTGAGTCTCTCTGTGAACTCACATGCCAATAAAATATTAACAGCACTACGTTAATTGCGGCGTAAAATTATCGTAAGAAATATTTTTATTTAGTTACAATTTTTGTGGCCTTGGTGAGTAATCAATGATTTACGAGAGTAATATAACTTTCTCAGTTGTTTTAAATGAAGATCCGAGTCAGCATTTTATAACATAAAAATTAAATAATGCCGACATTTCTAAAATAAACAACGAATTCAATATTGCAAAGAAAGCAATGAATATATACACCAAGTATCTCTTATCTATTAGACAAGTCCGTCCGTCCGTCCGTCCGTGGTGCTGTTTCAGCGGCCAAACCGTAAGAGATAGATATAGAGAATGTTTAAGTTATAAGTTAAGAATAGTCTGATAAGACTACAAACCGGATGTGAGAAACGTAGCACTTCCGGTTTTCGAGAAATCACGTGATTTCTATTTCAAACGAAACCACACAAAATCTCCGAAGTTCTCAATTAATTAAATACATTTTTTTTTTGGTGAACATTTGTTTCACTGGTTTGCTAGTTTCTTATGATTTCTCATATTGTAACAATTCTTTCTACTTTTGTTTTATTGAAGGAATAAATATCCACTTCCTGCAATTTTACTAAATTTGATTGCTAAAATTACCTAATTTTAAAAGACACTCATACTCAGATACATATACATATAGGTTTTCATGACACTTCGATTAAATTCTGGAAACTTCATTCCAACATGTGGTTGCAGTTGATCCAAATACAAAATGTAAGCGTAGCTAAATGTAATCGATCTCTGACACACTCAGGAATATCAATTAGTTCGATTAAATGAGATACCGTCAGTTTTTTGTGATAGCAATTGAATATTCAAATTATTATTATGCTAATAAATTATTGGGGCCTCTGATTTAGAACGTACGAATCGTTTGCCATCTTTAAACTTAATAATTAAACACAATAGGTTGTGTCCAAGTCTCAAATAAGGATTTACTGAATTAAAATGTGAGTGTTTCCGTTATTCTATTTTCCGTTAAACTCGAATCTTAAATTATCAGACCCTTCTCTCAGAGTGCTATCTGTCTGTCTGTCCGATCGCGCCCGGAGTCCTAATGGTGTGTAATTGTTGCAGATTTCCTATATCAGCACCGAGTGGCTTTCGACGGAGCCGTTTCTGAGGTGGAAATACTAGACACTTCTAATTGCACGGTAAGCAGCTTTGGGTTACTTATGAGTTTGATACCTACCAAGAAAGATTGCCCGTATATTATCTACGGTGTAGTGTGCTTTAAGTGGAGTACTCTTGTTTATTTATTATAGTTTTCAGTGGGGCACATTTGAGACTGCAAATGGAAGGCTTCGTTTAACAAATGATTCTAACATGAATTTAATTTATGATGATGAGGTAATCTGAAAATATGTAGATGAAGTAACTTAATAAATCGATAATATTGAAAAATCAAAGCTTATCTGCAGAAACTATTTCAAAATCGAGAAGTAATCTAAAAATTGTTATCTGACAGCTCAGCAACTTCGCTTGCAGTGGCAAATGAAGCTGTAGACGGGCCGAACTTAATTTAGCTGCGAACAATGGAGATGTTATCTGTGGCTCGCGGTCGTAGGCGGTTGATGGCCCGTACAATTTAATTAGACGAAGTTTATGGGCCTTGTACTCCGTTATCAGAGGCGATCGCACAACCGCGCAGTGCCGCCTCCAGGCTTCTACTGAAACCTACGCGAATCTAACATTAGAATTTAACATATTCGATTACGCATTACACGAGGATTATTCAAGGAATTTAGAGATGGTTAACTTTGTTGTAAGGCTTCGAGTCTATGTTAGAGATTCAAGATGTAAATAAATAGTATTAAGCCCATGGACGCGTTATTATTGGTCAATCATATCGGATGCGTTATTGCGATATTTCGCCATAATACACTTCTATTGCGTCGTTATTATCACAGCAGTGTGTAACTTCGTAGCTGTCTTAATATCTACATAATGTACTAAAAACAGATTTCGCAATAACGCATCCGATATTAACGAACGATAATAACGTGCCTATGGGGGGGGGGGGGGAGCAATTGTTTTCTTTTGACACAAGCGTAGGATGTAGTAAAAGCACATGAGCAAAAAGTTTCCAGAACGGGTTTACTTAAATTGATTTTATGGTATTGAAACACTAATTATGATACAGAAAGTGATAGCAGAAGAAATTTTATTTATTAGCCATAAACATAGTCACGTTAACAAAAAAAAAACAAAATAGGTCAACTAGGTAGGGTAATAGGCTTCAGTTTAATACTACAGCAACACCAGGGCTGCTGCAGCGCTGATGATTCTAGCAGGGCCTAAGGTTGATGACACAGATTTTTTAAAAACAATAGTAATATACTAAAAGTAACAACCATACCAATGTAAACATAAAAATAATAATAATAACATAGGCTGAATGTCTTTACTATCCTTAGCCTTACATAAAAGTACAATTTTATTTAATAATAGATATAATACAGTTTTGTCATCCATTTGCAGGTGCTATTTTCGATGGAATTAGTTTTTACTTAGACAATCAATCCTACAAAAACAAAATGGTTGGCGAAATCTGTGTTATCAGTGGATCCCTCATAATATTGTTGAGATTAAGGAATAAAGGTCGCGGCACTTAGTGCAATGGCAAGCTTACTTCCCAGCAGATTCAATGACGGGATTTTTTTTTGGAACATACTGACAGCAGAGTTGGGCATTATTCGGATATTTTTTTATCTAGATAATTATTTGAATAAAATATTATTTGTCATATAATTATTCGCGAATAATGTATTCACGAAAAATGATTCACGGATAAAGACTATATGAATAAATTATTCATTTTATTTGTTAATTAAAATAAAATTCATACCGAAAACTCTTATTACTTATAAGCGAGAAGACAAACAATGCAAATTGTATTTCTTCAACTGATACCTGGAATTTAGTGAATAAAAGTGGCAAAAGAAACGGCTAATTACAATACACCATTGCCTTCATCTGGATCAGTAAAACGCATTGTTTCTTATGCCACTAAGATAAACCTGTCAAAGTCAAGCAAATTGTCTTCATCATCATCATCATCATCATCATCAGCCAATTAATGTCTCCACTGCTGGGGCACAAGGCTTCCCTATGGATGGAGATTGGGCCATGCCCCACCACGCGGGCCCAGTGTGGTTTATTGGATGCTAACGACTGCAGATGCAGCCGGAACCAATGGTTTAATGTGCCTTCCGAAGCACATTAAGCCATTGGTACGGTTCAAGATAATAGGTTTTTGGTCACCCATCCAATGACCGACCACTGCGAAAGATGCTTAACTTTCACGATCGCAGGCCGAACGCGCTAACTGCCTACGCCATCGAGCTCCACGTCTAACAATATGTATAAAAAGAAAGAGTAGTGATAAAAACAAACATAAGAATATGAAAATTATAACTGTCAAAATTACTAATTGATTCAAATACCTATTCATTGTTTTATTTTTATTTATGAATCGAATAACGAATAAATATAGTTTAACGTCATTCTATAGCCATTGATACAACTATCGGTTTAATAATAAAAGCAACTCCTTAGCTTTTTGTGATGAGCAGGAAATCAGGATGCAAATCTTGACTCAAGCTTTTTGAATCAAGACAAAGCGAACAGTACACTGTTTAATTGTCTACTTGTATAACAGTTTAACCTTTGCCTTACTCGTTGTATTCTTCCGTCGAACTTGTGAACTATGATTTGTCTTATGTAAAAGTTATTGTTAAAACATTGTTCGGTAAGTTGTAATTCGTGAGTGTTCGATTAAACAGAGTCGATGTTGATGCCGATGACGGCTTATTAATCGAAACGATAACGGAACTAGAAACAAAACGAAACGATTGAGATTGCGCAATCGCATAATTTATTCGATGCGTTGGCCGCATTCTGAACGGAGCTTTACTTGTTTTGGTTAGTTTATTATCGAACATCACTTTTGTTTATGGTTCCGATTATGTTTTTAAACATGACTCTTAAAAGATTTTCGTAATTTCAAGGGTTCATTATAGTTTTATAGGGAAATATTGATGCGAAACGCATTACGGATCGTAAAGTTTATGATCAAATTAGGTACTCAATGTTACGGGGTGGTAGAAGTATAGATATAGGATGTAGAACAGTATATTTCGAAATCACAGCTGTAAACTATTTATGGTGGTAATTTTAGACTTACGATACGTCAACAAAAATGGTCTCCATCGTCATAATTAATAAACTTGATAGCTAGAATAAAGCTTTAACACCTCTATTATATTTTTTTAATTCTATCACATCTATTCGAAAAGAGCTAGTTGGTTCTGTTTACAGGAGCCAAAGTAGCGTTCTAATCCCTAGGGACTAAAAGCGATTTGAATTAGGTATGTGGAAATAGTAAGTAAAAGTTTCAATCATTAAAGAGATTAAACACGAAAGTTTTATGAAAAAGTCACAGAGTAACCCGCGCGCTTGCCATATAAGAACAATTGTGAAAAAATACAAACACGCGAAATACATTCTGCCGTCGTTTATATTTTTGTAATCAGATTTAGATTTATTTGGTTTAAAAAAAAATGTCTTCTTCGAGTAGTGAGAATGAAAATATGAGAAAAATGTTATACAATTCCCGTGAACTGAAATAGATAATATGAAAATTAACATCTTTGGAAAAATGCAAGAAAAGAGAAATATTTTTCAGAAAATGTGTTTTTGACCTATTTCCAAGATTGTCTTGTCCTCCTTGTATGTAAATAAATTTCCACCCATAAATGTCCACCTTGGTAGCAACACTATTTTAGAGCTAGAGCGACACATTTTAAATCCTTCGTGGCGTACAGGATTCTCTTTTAGAATCCCGAGCATGAATCCTTCGCTCCGCTCTGACTACAAAAAACGGTCTCGCCTTTAAAATTGTTCTATGCTCCCTTAGTAAACAATCTACTACCTATTATATCCTGCACAACGAGTTCTGTACAATGCTGGGGTAAAAAATTGATGTTGGGTTTAACTGATTGAAAAATATTTAATTGAATATTTAACTAAATATTCGGGCTTTGGGCATGCATTCTTCATAGAATACCAAAATTTCAGTTCTTTAACTCATTCCGTTTACGATCTAGAGACCCGTGACAGACAATCAAACAGAGGACAGACAACAGAGTGATAGAAATGAGGTTCCGTTTTTATTCTTTGGGTAGGGAACTCTAAAAACCATATACTATCATGTATTCGCGTTCAAAAAAGACTACTTCCTACAGATGCGTGGTTGCCTCGGCGAGCACGTGCGCTGGGGGGACGCGTTCGCAGTGGTATACTCCGTGTGTGAGCGACGCTCCTTCCTCGCGGCGGCCGAGCTGCTGTCGCTGCTGGAGCGGACCAGGCTGCCGGGCTGCGCGGCCATCACCCTCCTCGGGAACAAGAGAGACCTCGAACACGCAAGGTACTTCAAAACACTCGATATGTCGATGGATGGTGTAGTGGTAAGCTCGTTCGGACCGCAATTGCGGAGGTTAAGCAGCTTTTATCAACTATCATGAGTGTGTTTGTATTTTGGATTGCGTTGCTGACATGGCTCCTGCTTATTTCAGCAGACAATGACATCTTTCAATTCGATATCGAATATAAACAAGTACATAAAAATAACAAATAAGGTTTATTTAAATAATAAAATAAGTATAACACTTTATACCACGCTGACGCTGTAACACGGATCCTTATCTTATAGAATTACTGATTTCTAATAGGGAGGTCCATGCAGAAGAGGGTCAGGAGTTGTCGTTGCGGTTCGGGTGCCAGTTCTACGAGGTGTCAGCGGCAGAGTCGTGCGCGGGGGCCGCTCTCGCGTTCCACGCGCTGCTGCGGGAGGCGCGCGCGCTGGCGCTGCTGCTGCCCGCGCCGAGACGAAAGCTCGCCGCCTATTCCGTCTCTAAGGTACTCACATATTACATATTGTTGTTGTGGTTCGGGTGCCTGTTCTACGAGTTGTCGGCGGTGGACTAGTGCGCGGGGGCCGCGCTCGCGTTCCACGCGCTGCTGCGGGAGGCGCGCGCGCTGGCGCTGCTGCTGCCCGCGCCGAGACGAAAGCTCGCCGCCTATTCCGTCTCTAAGGTACTCACATATTACATATTGTTGTTGTGGTTCGGGTGCCAGTTCTACGAGGTGTCAGCGGCAGAGTCGAGCGCAGGCGCCGCACTAGCGTTCCACGCGCTGCTGCCTACTCCGACTATAAGGTACTCACATGTGTTTAATTGTCGTTACGGTTCGGGTACCAGTTCTTCGAGGTGTCGGCAGCAGTGTCGGCCGCGGGCGCCACGCTCGCGTTCCATGCGCTGCTGCAGAAGGCTCTCGCACTATTATCATATTATAATTCCTCCAACAATCTAGGATTGTGGATGAGTGAGAGAGATGAGTTCGAAGATGACAAATTCAATGCGAGTTTTCGAACCGCACATCTAGTTAAAGTACAATCATGTTGCCGTTCATATAAACGAGTCAAGAACTGCTATCGTCATTAATCCTGGGTGAAACCGTGACTAATAGTAAAGAAATCTTTAGATTTAGTAATCAAGGATTTTAATGCTTAAAATATAAATATAATTAATTTGTCCGGTCAGTTTTCTTGTCCAGAAATAATAAAAGATTACCAGCCCTTAAAAAAGAATTTTGCATAGAAATATTTATGAAGGCACTTCAAGGATTTTCATTTACATCACAGAATATTCTACACCTCATTTTTCTGTTAATTTTGTTTATGATAAGGTTTTAATATATGTTTATTTTTCTAATAGGTTATCGGCACAATATTTGGCAAGAACAGCAAGAGTGTACGAAAGAAAAGACCATCCCTCAGCATTTAAATATGTAGTTAACTTTATTTTATATTCGTAAGACTGTTATATTTTATCTTTTTTTGTATTGCCTAAAATATAGAAAAAAGCTAAATAAGATTATAATTAAAATTGTACAGATAATAGAATGCATTTTCAGAAATTGAGTGCGATGTGCTTTGTAAATAGAACTTGAATGTAAATAACATTGAAACGTAAGATGTCTAGAACACCTCGCAATAGAATTTATTTAAAAGCGACAGCGAATAATTAAATTGGTAAGTTGTAAATATTATATATTTTATGATGGATTATGTGCTAAATTTTTTAATAATAAAATTATGAATTACAACTTTATTTTGTTCATTTTTATCCCATTTGTTCTGGAGTCTTAATCTTTCTACGAGACTAGTAGTACCTACACAGTTAATTCTGTGTAAAAGCCATTTCACTATCGTGCCACTCTCAAAATATATATTTATGTATGAAAAATGGATTTTATAAAGAAAGAACAAGAAAGCCTGTTCATAAATTGTCTAATTGTAAAATACTCGCATCCAGTCTTAAAACTATCCCTCTACAAGTAAGTATACAAGTAGTATTCTGTGTACTAAGTATCGGGAATTTTACAATAAAACAAAACAATAAAAAATTGAAATGAAATTATGCATCTAAATTAAATTTATCGCCTTCATAGTGGGCCCCATTGCTTGCAATACAACATCTCCACCGCTTCACCCAGTCCTCCATACACTGTAGGCTTCTTGCGGTATGGCCTTTAGCTCATTCAGTGAATTTTCTTTTATGGCTTCTATTGACTCAAAACTTTTCCTCGAAGTGGTAATTTTAACTTGGAAAATAAAAAAAAGTCAGACGGAGCCATATCAGGTGAATACGGTGTTTGGTCGAGAACTTTTGTTGAATTTAACGCTAAAAACTCTTTCACAATAATGTCTGTGTGTGATTGTGCATTTTCATGGTGCAGCATCCATGAGTTGTGTTACCACAAATACCGTTACAGTTAAATATATCTAAACCTAAAGTCACAGATATTCTATTTAAATATGTGGCAGCTCTTAGTAAAAATGAATTTTGTCTATAGTTGCAATTGGAAGTAGGGATGTAAATTGGTTTGAAATTACGAATACTTCTGGTGGGGACATTAAATCTTAATATGGAAAGAAGCTCAGAGAATTCGGTTATACCTGAGACGATTTTTACATATAAGGAACATAACATCAGTTATGTTTCGACGGTTTTCTAATGTAAGCATGTGATATCTTTTACAAATCTGAATATACTGATGATAAGAGGAATAGGTTAATACCTAAGGATAACTATTAAAAATATTTTAGAAACTTTTTCTGCATGTTCCCATGTCTGTCAATATAAACCGCATACCGGGGATTCCAAACTTGCGAAGCATATTCCAAGCTACTGCTGACGAAAAAACAATATAGTATTTTAAAGATTTTAACGTCGGTAAAATATTTTGTGTTACGAATCAGCAAGCCTAAAGCTTTGGTAGCTTTAGATATCACTCGATTAACGTGCTCATCAAACAGCAATTTCGAGTCATGGGGACATGACTCTGAGGTTTCGCATATTGTGGACTCACTGCAGACTTTGCTGCTGATGAGTATAACTATACTGTATGGTAGTTGAATTTCGGGTAAACGAAATTACAGTACTTTTGACCGGCTTAGGGTCACTTTTATTTACTTTACCATAGTATTCAAGCCGGTACATATCCTTGCAAAAACTTTAATGTCATCTGCAAATGAAAGGAGTTTTGAAGTGTGTAGGTATGATTCAATATCGTTTACAAATATAATAAACAGCAACGGACCGAGCAATGAGCTTTGCGGTACGCCGCTAGGAATAAGAATCCAACCAGACATATAATTATTAATTACACCGGCTTTACTTTGATTCTCTACATAGGAAGCAAACCAACGCAGTAAGTCACTATGAATACCGATCAATTGTAGCATTTTTAGGAGGTTGTCATGCGAAATTCGATCAAAAGCTTTACTGTAGATATAGATAGATATAGAGAGATAGATAACTTCCACCTGGCGGTCATTCGCCTAACGGAAATGCTTTAGAAAACGCTAACGCTTTCGATTTTATTTTGTTATTTCTGACCGCCGAAGGTTTTCAAATACCTCACGCTCTTTTTTTTAATATTGTTATTACCACTGCAAAAGAAAAAAAAGAGCGCGAGGCATTTGAAAACCTCTGTCGGCTAGAAATAACAAAATAAAATCGTAAGCGTTAGCGTTTTCCAAAGTATTTCCGTTAGGCGAATGGCCCCAATCACCCGTTCCGCTTACAGAAGACCACAGTCAAATAATAATACCTTTTGGTGTTGTTGTGTTCCTGTTGGTGAGTAAGGATCCTAGGCTACACGGAGTAGAGGATTGGGTCAGAATACAGTTTTTGACATTAATCTTCTTCTTCTTAGTCGGGCACTCTTGTCAGAGTGGTCGTGGTTGCACTGATGAGGTACATGGTGGGGTGTTCTTTGGGTCGCTATCAATTCCGAGGGTAGCTCTCCTGGCGATGTGCTTCCATTTCTGACGGTTACTAAATATAGCTTTATTAATGTTATATTAGTAATTATAATAAATAAATATATAATAATTATATTAATAAATATAGTTAAATTCTTCCAACATTTCAATCGAAGGACTTATTTCTTACCCCAACATCAAAGTGAATAAAAACAAACTCGTATGAAACTTTTAAGAAGATTTTTGACTAATTAGGCTTTTAGATGACGATATTATTATCTACTCCCAGATTAGATGCTCCACGAGCGCTCAAAATGTGACCGGATCAAGCAGTGCTTAACACCGCGTAAGCACTAGGTATTTCGTTTACAGTCGCGCCCGGACCGTTATGTAGGTTTCGGTTTTTTTTTATATTCACCAAATCAATGTTTGTTAATTTAAAGAATTTATAGTTAATGTTGTTTTAAACTTGCTATGAACTATTTTTGATAAAAATGTTTGCAATAATTAAATGCATAGTTGGTTGCGCTGCACATCCTGCCCGCGCATTTCGTGCAGGCAATATTTTTTACCTATTAACCTTGTGTCAACCCGTGGTGTCAACAACGCTTTCAGAATTAAGATCAACGGTTAAAAACTCATAGTTTGAAACAAAGTTGTTAACATTTTAAATTTCAACGTTTGCATTGAAATTAAGACCTTATATTTAATCTCTCAGCTACACAAAAATTTTCCGGGATATAAAACATCCTATGTCTCAATCCAGGTAAAAAATATATGTGTGCCAAATTTCATCCAAATCCGATCAGCTATTTTTTTCGTAATTGAGTACAAACAAACATACAATCTTTCACATTTATAGTATTAATTAGGATATTAATGGTGGTGGTTCAATGTTTCATTAAATATTGTGCTATATTCAACGATATTAAATACCATAGATACAACAACACGAACAAAATCGTGGCCGAAAATTGTTCAAAAGGTACATTGGACGATCCACGGAACTCCGTAAGATGATCGTGCAATTAAATATCCACCGATTTGAGTTTCCTTATTGCATCTGTCATTATTTTTAAATTCAAGCTTAGCAACTCAATCATTTCAGGATTCCGTATCTCAAAAGGAAAAAACGGAACCCTCATAAGATCACTTTGCTGTCCGTCTGTCTATCAAGACGCTTCATCTCGGGACACGCGTAGAGGAGTTGACTTGAAATTTAAACCATATACTCAGATCTGCGGTCCCTTGAAGCGGTGAAAAAATTAAACTTCTAAATTAACGTGAAAAAATGATACGGCCGTTTACCTGTCTAACTTACAAAGCCCTTTATTTAGGTACGGAGGCATAGAGGTATCGAGTTGAAATTTAAACCATATACTCGTACTCAGGTCTACGGTCCTCCGAAGCTGTGAAAATATTTAACGTAAAAGTAAACGAAAAAAAAGATATGGCCATTTATGTTGCATGCCTACAAATTTGTACGGAACCCTCGGCGGGTCAGTTGAAACACTTGCCTATGTTTTTACGTAGCAGTTTGCTGGCTTAATGAGATACCATTTTGCGAATCAGACCAAGTGTGTACAAAATGTTAAAATTCTCTGCTATTAAGTGGATTAGAAGTAAGTTATTTAAATTCTTTTTTTTTCCAACACACCAATTAGCTAAGCCCCAAAGTAAGCACTGTAAGTCTTGTGTTATACTAGGGTAACGGATAGAATTAATATACTGTACATATATAAATATTTTTATATATTAAACATCCATGATTGGAGTACAAATGCTCGTATTCATCACACAAACAACTGCCCCCACCGGGATTCGAACCCGGGACCTATCGAGTCGCCGACACCATGAAACCCGGCGTCCAAACCGCTCGGCCACGTAGGTCGTCGGACTAGAGTAGATAACGGACAGCAATAGTATGTAAACACCTAACCTGGAAACTTATAAATATACTGGACTTTTATAAATATAAAATAGTATATTTCAATAAACATATATGCAAACAGATATTGAATTAATAAACAGATAATTAAACTTTCCACTTTAGGTGTGTTGCTGTCCATTACCTACTCTTATCTTTGTTACGGTGTGCACGGTGATTCATAACCATTACAAAATATTATGTATATGTCGTAGGATAATTGATAAATGTAATGTTCTTGAAAATCCTAGGGGTTTTAGTGTGAAGACACAAAACCAAAAACCAAGACTATTTATAATAAGTTAACGATTCTTTTCTCAATATTATTCAGACGACTCACGTAATTGATTTTTTTTTCAGTTAAATTGAGAAATGTCACGGTCATGGTCTAATATTATCCGCGTTTTTGCAAAATCTCTGGGATTTATCAAATCATTCTACACATATATGTCTCTATCATCTGTGTTATACGTTCCGTAAACAGGTTCATCGTCTGGTGATGATGATCAGCCTATTAGTGACATAAAATAAAATAAAATCATGAGCCTATTAAGATCCTCACTACTGCTGGAGCACAGGCCTTCCCAATGGATGCAATATGAAGATTAGGTCATGACCCACAACACCGACGCAGCCATTACCCAAACGTGGCTTTATGTGCCTTCCGAAGCAAGACGGAGCTCGAAAAAATAAATTATATGGTCACCTGTTCAAAGACCAGCAATCTAAGTAAGTGAGGTAGGGCACAGCGAATTTTCCGCTCGAATTAGTGCGCCCGTCTGGACACAAGTCTGGACACAACACAGAGAATTAACACTACCTTTTGGTGGTGTTGTGTTTCTGTTGGTGAGTAAGGTTCCAGGGTAGGGAAATGGGGCAGGGTAGGCAACGGTGC